AACAAGACGCTCTGTGGAGCGTTAACTCGCTGGGGATACACAACTGACGCACATTACTGTTAAGGTTACAGAACACCTTTGAGTGTTAATTTTGTCTAAAATTTTTTTATTGGTTTCTATGAAAGCATTAGACTAGTTCTACTATCTGACTAAGTTTGAACGAAAAATGTTGAAAACTCGCGGAGTTATTTAATAAAATACATTTCGCTGCAATAAGAAATTAAAAGCATTGAAAATGTAATATTCAAATTCAATTTTCTCCCGAAAATGTTTACGGTAATTACTGATTTTCAAACAAGTTGTGCTCTTGCGGGTTTTAACCAATTTTTCTCAAACTTTCACAGGACATAGCTCAAGACGTCAGTTTCAAAATTGTGTTCGGCTTTTTTTTAATTTTGGATATTTTAAAAATAAAGAGCAATTCACTCAAACAATTCAGAAATATATTGCAGTCGTCAAAGAAATCGCCATATTAGCGGAATGACGAAATAAACAAAAATTTCCGAACACAGTTTTTTAGAACAACTATTTTACTGTATAAAAATGATATTTTCATAAATATAACTTAAAACCAGCAGGAGCACAACTCAAAAGCGTAACGACACCGCGATTTAAGATTTTCCTGAATAATTCTTACATTATTTTATTGTTTGTTAATTTTACAACTTTACCATATTTTGCATGAACTGGAGAACATTTGGTGAAAATTTGATGAAAATCGGACTGATATTGAGCGCGCAGTAGCGAACTTTGATAAGTTAACAAATTCATACTAAAACTTGCGGAGCAGTAAATTCTGTTGCTTTATTTATTTGGTTATTTTACAAATTTAAAGTTTTACGTGCGTATTTTAAGCCTGGTGTGGAAATTAAGCCTGGCCCCGAGCTAAGGGGAAACTTCCGACGTTTATGCCTACTAGTAAAGTTATATTTTATAGTACGCAACATTCTTCTGTCGGCCGCCAGTTTAAAATGTTCAAAATAAAATATTTTGGGGCTTTTGGGCTCAAAATATTATCAAAATGAAGAGGGAAGTGAGACGAATCCACTGGTGTACGGCCGAAAAAGAGAAAACCAATGATACCAAAGTTATCAAGGATCAAACGTACTGCATCTTTTATATTAAATTGAGCGAGTTGTCAACAAATAATACAATTTCGCTTGGCTTTCAAAGTCAGAGGCCATTAATCGCTAGAATACTGTTGTCAGTTGTTTAGTAATACATTTGACATCCGTAGGTACAATTTCTCATCCGTAAGTACAATTTCTTGCGCTGAATCGAACGGTGGTATTTTTATTTTTATTGCGCCATTAATTAGGCAATACAAATACAAGGTCAAGGACAAACGCACTGCGAGTGATTTGATGTCAACAATACAATTTCGCTTGATTTTCTAAGGCCATAAATCGCTAGAATACTGCTGTTTAGTACTACATTTGACATCCATAAGTACAATTTCTTACGCTGAATCGAACGGTGGTATTTTTATCCTTATTGCGCCATTTATAAGAGGCATTACAAATTACAATATATGTTTCGCACTGAGTACACTACAGACAGTTTTCACCATAGATATCTTATATCTATGGTTTTCACGGACTGTTGTTCGATAAATTTTATATTGATATGACACCAATATGCTTCTCATAAAGTAGTTATAATTTAAACTGCACAACGTAGTTTTAATAAATAACCTTTTACCTTGAAATTGTCTTTGGCTCCTTTATATCAGTTCAGATTCAGTATATTATGATCGTGCACGGGAATTCAACGATCCAAATTTCGGATTTTCAGAGTCGTGCACCAAGAAAAACGCATTAAATAAACTAGCATGAATGTCCAGAGTTAGACACAAAGCAAAATCCATAGAAAACAGGTACAATTCGGCCAAAATTTTCAGGAAATGGGGCCCGGAATTGTTTGAAACATTTTGCCCACTCCACGAAAGGCCCCGCCATTTTGAAAAGATCAAGCAGCTCATTAATATTCTATTTTGTGGCTATCGACGATCGGAGATCCGTGATCCGTGACAAATGCAAGCCGAAACCTTATACTCGTCCGGGGCACAGGGTGCCCCAGCGAGTAATTACGCAATTGTCTGAACAAAAATATAGACTAGCCGTACCTTTCGCCGAAAATAACTTCGGCCCCTTCGAACATATCGTCTTTGTAATAGTCTTGTTAAAATCCCCATTAAAAACACTACTTAGAGTGTTATTTGCAAGCCTGT